GGACATATGGATTTTAAAATGTGGCAATACTCAAAAAGGCCAAACAGAATGATTAAGTAAAGAAGAAACTAACTAGTCTGATAAAAACCAGAATAGAGAAAATAATGAAAAACCCAATAGGGAGTTTATAATAAAAGCATTTGAAGATGGGTGTACAGCCTCTCAGGGTGATCCATCAGGTCATGCTTTTCCATCTTGGCCAAGTAGTGGTCTAATTCTTGATCCATCTCTTACTACCTATGACCTGACAGTTTTTCATTAACTTGATATTCCTCATTATATCTTCATTTTGTGAAGCAACCTTTTTGCTTTCCCCCTCCACATGACTTTCATAACAGCCCTTAGTAAGTTGAGTTCTCACTTTCTGGATGCCTCTCTCTTGTATGTGAAGTCAGTTAAGAACTTGTTACTCAGCTTCTCATCTTTGGCTTCTTTGGTTCTTCCTGGCCTTGCTTTGCACTGGGATTGTTGGTGTCCTCTTCCCTCAGACTGACTTTTAATGGGATTTTGCCTGGAAGTTACAAAATTGTTTAAGTTCAACTTTCTTCAACTGCACTGGCTTGATTTGGCTGTTCTCACACAGTTCAGAAATCTTAAGTAAAGATATACCGTCTTATACACGTTCACATTCTCATCTCCACCAACTCCACTCTGCTTCTCAGCTAGTTTCCTTCTCACCCTTGTAACCAAATAGTTACAGTCCCTAAAGCATTCCAGAGGATCAGCACACTGCCAGGGTGGGACTCAGCTGACCCAACACAGATGCCTTCATATGGGCAAGTAACCTGAACTCCCCTTCTGGTTAATGGAGAAACCCAGGTACTTCAGAACGCCCTCGTCCTAAAATATATGGTAAAAAAAGAGGTCAGATGAATGAAGCCTGAAAACTAGCTTTTGTCAGCTGCAAGACAGCAGGACAACTAGCTTTGGATGAAATCTGGAGATAAAACAATGATGCAAGAATGGTAAATATGGAAAAAGTAATTTCCAGCATTAGTAGATTAATAATCTATAATAATACCTGATAGATAATACCTGAGTAGATTATGCCCGTTCAGATAAAGTACAACCTTTCTATTTCCAGAGCACGCATTACCTGGGCCAGACCTACAGAGTTAGAGATGGTGTGTTAGAAAACAACTCTGAAGTGTACGACAACCCCAATCCTTGAATATAAACCAGGAAGCAGTGGTAGAAGCAAGGAAGATTTATTTCAGCCTGGAGAAGAGAAGGCTCCCTGGAGACCTGGTAGCAGCCTTCCAGTACCTGAAGGGGGCCTACAAGAAAGCTGGAGAGGGACTTTTTACAAGGGCATGTAGTGATAGGACAAGGGGTAATGACTTTAAACTGAACGAGGGTAGTTTTAGATTAGATATAAGGAAGAAATTCTTCACCATGAGGGTGATGAGGCACTGGAACAGGTTGCCCAGCAAAGCTGTGGATGCCCCATCCCTGGAAGTGTTCAGGGCCAGGTTGGATGGGGCTTTGAGCAACCTGGTCCAGTGGAAGGTGTCCCTGCCCATGGCGGGGTGGGGGTGGGGTGGAACTAGATGATCTTTTAGGTCCCTTCCAACCCAAACTGTTCTATCATTCTATGAGATGAATGTCTAGGAGACAGATATTAGAAGATAGCGTACAGTTTGGGAAACCATATGGATAAACCAAAGAAAATGAGAAAAGAGGGACAGGAGATTTTAGGGCTAGAGAAATCAACTTTCCTTGAAAGTTTCTACTTAGT